AAAAGGAAAAAACATTAATAAAACAATGTGAACTTGAAATAGCGAGTTGTAGGCGATACAAGTACAGTATGTGGGGGGGAACAGAGGTCCGAACTTTGGGACGTTCCATTTTTATTCCGATCCCCCCCCCCCCCCCAAAAAAAAAAAAAGTGGAACGTCCCTTTAGGGCTTTATTTACAACAAAGGTCATCAAAAGTCACGTGAAATTACAAGTGAAATCTGACGCTCAGAAGCTGAATTGGAACTGCATACTCGCTACCCCACAAACAAAATTTAAAAACTACATGCTTACTGCCCCACAGGCCTGAAAGATAAAATTATCAAAAGCGAAACATTAAATGTACGAGACAGGACCCCAAGGTTAAACAATTTTGGATGGCGCCACCAGCACATAGTATGTACACAAACTGACAATAATGGCGCCCACCTTTGAATTCACAGGGACAAAACTGTACTTCAGCCGCTACAAGGGGTGACGAAATGCGAACTGAAAACTTAAACAAAAACTTCTAAATGCCCGCAAACCAGAAAGCCGAAAACCCGACTAAACGATATGACTCAAAAATACAGGACCACAATAAGAGAAACACAAAACCTCAACGCTTGGAGCGTTCGCTTAGGTCCCGCCGTTATCCTGAGCACAAGGTGGTGGGTGGACCAGTACTTGAGCATGGGCCGGCCATCCTGATTAAAGGACTCCGCTATAACTACCAGTTCTGCAGCCGGTGGATAAAAATCGGACTCGTCGGCCGCCATTGAGCGAGTAAGTCGTGTTCCACTGAATAGTCACCAAACGTCCTTCGTGTCGGACAAAGTGAAGTGAATGGGACAATGCGTGCCAGTGTTTCCTATTATATATACTCATTTGCATATCATTAATTAACCCCCAGGGATGATATTTACAATTTAGATGGAACGTGAATAGCAATTCAACCTTACATACCAACCTTTTGACTAGACTGATCATATTCAAGGGACCTCAAGGATATCGATCACCTTCAACAACCACAAATTATAAATCACATTCAAGCAACCAACACCCCCAGGGGGGGTACTCGGGATTTCAAGTGACGGGGATGATCGAAGGATTTTTGGGGGTTTGAAATTTTCGATTCCGGGATTTTTTTGGGTACGAAAATTTGGCTTGGGTAGCTTGATTTGAGTAAGGATTTTTGGGGGCTATTAAAAAGAATAAGATGAGGGAAATGATATATTCAGATGGTATGATGAATAAACAAACACGAGTGTTCAATTTCCAATGTCCTTCTTTGTGTTTTAGCATTACTCCTTTCTGGAACTTTTAAGGGCCGCAAAAGCGGCATGGGATTTTTTGGGGGTTAATTTTTGGTCCAGGGATTTTTTGGGGTTTTGCTGGAAGCCCTAGGGATTTTTTTAGGTCTTGACTTTTGGCTCCATTCGATCATCCCCGTCACTTGAAATCCCGAGAACCCCCCCTGGGCCAACACCTCAATCACATTCAAGGTCACGCATCTTCGGACGGTCTTCGTAATTCTCGAGACGTCACACTTCGCTTGTGAGAAAGACGTCAGGTGCTCCTTACGAATGGGCCATTTGCACGATGACGTCTATTTACTACTAAGACCAGAATTAATTTCGTTTTCTTTCTTTTTTTTCTGGCTTTTCAAGCAATGAAAAATTTCTATATTTTAATTTGTGAGATGTATTAGCTATTTTGGAGTGTTTGGCGCCTTGAAACGGCCTGGGACGTTCAGAGTATGTTCCCGGGGAACATATTGAACAAATCAAACGGAGTAACATGACAATTGAACGGAAAAAAGAAATACTTCGAGCTAGAGAAATATTTTGGCAAAGTCGGCTGAGCACATTGCAACCGAACGGTCTTAATAAGAGAATGGGCTAGAACTCAGAGTCGAATATACCTTTATAAAGTATTCAGTACATAAATAACGTTTTAGAACTTAAGTTATAGAGGTCATTCCACTCTACGCCCACACGAATGTAATCAATCTATTAGAGCAGTATTACCGGTCGCAACTAATCAAGTAAATTTAAATGTTTAGTTGGGCTGTGTATAAAAGTGGGACGGGGACAAGGGGATGGGGACATGGGACGCGTGTGTGGGGACTTGGGACTTGGGGACGCGAGACGAGGGACTTGAGGACATCAAGTATGGGACGCGGGGACGTGTGAGACGGGGACGCGGGGACGTCAAATACAGGGAAGCAGGGGACGCGGAATGTGAATAATTATTGCAAAAGTCGGAGGTAAATGAGAAATCAGTCACTTTCCTCGTGAATATGTCTTGGTGAAGGCAACCCACCCTGCCCTCCTTAAGGTTCCTCCACTCCTGTTTACGAAGCGATAACTCGGCGAAGACCTCCTGCATTGAAGAAAGTGAAACCGTTGTTCTCGTCTTCTTACTGATGGAGCCCAATGCAAAGCAGGTAGGGTGGGTTGCGGTCGCCAAAATTTTAGTAGAATAACAACATTCGATTCCAAATAAATAAAAAATTAAGTGGCATAAGCGAGCTTCGAACCCCGAAGTGCTAGCTTCCCCTACTCCACGGGGGATTCAACTATTGTAACAATATTTATTCTGTTCTACATATTTTTAGCGGCAAACCTAACAGTAATTGCTAATGCTTGCTAACAGTACTTAAAGATTGATTTTCACTGACGCGTTTTTGGCTATGCACGTTAACGCAAGTAAATTTTAATCACGTAAACAAGATACAGGCAAGATATAAATTGTTGAGATTAAACGTGAAGTTGAGCGAGATTCTACTTTTACGCTTACGTGCGACCTTTCAGACATTGCCTCTATTTTATTTGCGACCGTAAATTTTACGCACGTAAGCATGGAAAAGTTACGCGACAGTGGAAATCAACGCTAACCCTAATGACGATAGTCAGTGCGCTTACTCCTATTATAAAGAAATATTTTGTGTAAACATCATAAGGTGTCCGATGTGGTTTTAAAAGATGGAATCATAAATAACACATTTTCAAGAAGAAAGAGATCTCGCATTTACCTCCGACTTTTGCGCCAATCTAAATCGAATTATGTTTGAACGTCGAACCGCAAACGGGTTAGAGGTTTGCAGTAAACTCGGATCTAAAACTCTCTATTGTTTAAAATGGCGCTTTGATCAGATTATTCCAGATTTCCCAAGATATGGTATTTGCAGCTTATTTACCGGAAAATACAAATTTGGTGTTGTCCCGGGGTGGGGCATTTGCACCCTATTTTTAAACCCCACCGTGGAGTTTTTGTATGAACGCCCGGCCCCACCGTGGAGCATTTGCACCTTTTCCAGAACAAAATGACAAATGCCAGGAGATGCTTTGTTCTTAATAGGCCATTTTATAGTTGTGGATAGAAGCGAGGCTGAGGGTGACCTTGTTTTGATACAAACCTTCCTGCTTTATTATGTAAATCAAGTTATTCTTATGCTACAAAGCAAGGAAGGTTTGTATCAAAACAAGGTCACCCTCAACCTCGCTTCCATCCATAACTGTAAAATGGCCTATTGTTCGTTTTGTTAGATAATACGCCGAGAATGTAAAAGCCTGCAGTATTTGGCCTCGTTGCTAGTTTAAAAGTTCAACTACCCCAGCAGTGGAGAAAATTTTTTTTTTTTTCTTTAGTATGTTACAATTTTTTACCTCTGGGTTTATTTCTTTCATTTCATATCTCATTATTTCCTTACTTTCATTTGGAACAAAAAAGAAAGAAATTCTGAAAACGTCAAAGAGATGTCTTGTCTTGTCCGCGTGAGACCGGGGATAGGAAGCCGAGTTGTGAGCCGATTTTGGATGACACGAACTAGCAGGAGAAGCAGAAATCTTTCCGTGAAAACAAGTCGAAAGTTTATTTCTAAAATGCTTCCTCTAGTTACTTGACTCGTATTTTAAAAAGATGTTTGCCTAATCTATTTGAAGACGTCGAAAAACGCCGTTAGTTTAAGCCAAGAAACCTGCGTAGCTGGAAACGCCAGGACAGTGTACGAGCGAGTTGTCATTTTTCTTCGACGCGTAATAACTGAAAATGCTTCCTGTTTATGGAGCGAATTATATGCACCGGCCCCCTGAAAGACCAAGAACTACAGGACAGCCGAATAATGCACCAAGACAGCTAGAGTTTAACGAAGCTATGAACGATTTTAAGCACATGTTTCCAACGCTTGATCGGGATGTCATCGAAGCTGTCTTACGTGCTAACAATGGTCTTGTGGACGCAACTATCGATCAACTTTTATCAATGGGAATTGATATGGAGGGAAATATTCCCAACTCTGGTCACCCTCATCTGCCTTCATATAGTGCTCTTAATGAGGCCGAACCTCCCCCAGCTTATACACCGAGGGAAAACAACCCTTCGCTCTCTTCAGCATCTCGGCCACTTCCTGCAAGACCCTATTCCGCATGGAATCCGCCATTGCTAGGTAAGCTACCGGACGATTTTCTGCGTCTTGGACCGTCTACGACTCCAGCGAGATCTCCTCTCAGTGGCGATGGAGACAGCATGGATGACAAAGAACTTGAGCGGTTCTTAGAAGATGAGAAATTAGCCATGGTGCTCCAGAATGAAGAATTTATGCGAGAGCTGAGACATAATAAAGATTTCATGCTGTCACTGGAAAAAGGTTTGTGGTTTCGAACTATTTTATAAAAAGTCCATTTCCCGATTTATCAGCCTCTTTGATTCTAGAAAAAGTGATCGAAACTTTCAGAAACCAAATATATTTGCCCTTCCGTGAATGCAAGGGGTACTCTTCAATAAGGATCGGCTTTCTTTTTTATTTTCCTTGTTTTGCGGAACCTTTTATTTTAATACCATCATATAAAATTAATAGCTTACTATATTCAAACCTTCGATGTAAATGATAACATAAAGTGTTTTTGCATTAAATATTAAAAATTTTCAATGGAGATTTTGATTTTGTGTTCAAGGTCTGGAAGTGTACAGATCTTCTATAAAAATTGATTTTAAACGTCCAGACTTTGTACACGTAATCATGTTCTTGAGTGACACCTTGTACCTTAATTCGTTTGTTTATTTCAGTCTAGGTAGCAACCATCCATGTTAAACAAAATCTTCAGAAGAAACAGTTTTTAGACGGGAACATGAAATAAATAAATAGCATCAAACAAGTTTTCAACTTGAGGAACTGACTGGAAATTGTTTTCAATTTATCCTCTATTCAAGTATCGTTTTTGTTTCAAAATCATTTTCATAGGCACTTAGTTACTGAGTAAGCATCATACATGTATGTCAAAAGAATCCTGATTTCTCAAAACCCTTGGTTTCTAGAAACTCCCAATAACTGAAGCCAACACTGACTTCCCCTCCTCAGTCAAATGCATGTACATTTAGCGGGGCAAAGGAAAGACTGTGAGCAGTCTCTCTTTGGCTCCAAAATCTGTGAGAGAGCCTGATATGCGAGTGTGCGAGCAGAAAAGCCACAAGCAGGGAATTGCTTGGTGTACACACAACTGGCTGCTCACAGCTTTGGGCCTTGTGCACTAACATATTGCATTCTCAAGGATTTTTGAGCAAAAGAGAGACTGCTCCCAGTATTTTATACTGTACTTTAGAGAACAGTTCAACTCTAAAATACAGGAACAAATTTTTGCCCAGGTTTGATGGATAGTGCATCTCTTGTGTAAAATGACCAATGATGATAACATGTAGGCATTACCATTCCTCCTCTCAAAAGTAATAAACAAACAAAATATACATTTGAAAAATTTTTTCAGGTATTTTTTATATTCATTAATATTTATTAAGACATTTTAAATGTATCCTTGAGTTTTTTGTTTTTTAAAAAGATGCTGCATGCTGTTGGTTGATCCCTAGCCAAAATAAGACTGTGCTACTATGATTTAATTGATAAATAAAAGAGTGGTTTTTTTAATTATTTTCTCTCAACAGATAGGCAAAGAAATACTACAATTGCACCCAAGAATACACTAGGTTAGTTTACAATCTCCCTTGGCTGCTATGGTGTCGACATTGTGGTTGACATGATGTTTTTTTTGTAAAATACATCACAAGAGTGTAAAAATTATTCAAAAGGCTCAATGATTCTTGAAGTATGAATGATATTCTTTTAAGGGCAGACAACTCTACTTACAAACATCTTGACAAAACCTGCTTGGACCCCAGGACTGTGCTTTAGCAGTGCCCAGTGGCCTCTGGCACCAATTACTTTTGCTCTCAGGCTACTGCAGGCAACTTTATTTTATTAATAGAAATCCTATGCTGGGTACTCTGGGTTTCACAGGTTCAGAGCAGGGGGCTCCATTCAATGTTTTTAGAGCACATTTTTGGTCCAACTTCTGCATTTCCATCAGTGGCCATTCCTGTAAGAAGCCGCAGACAATTTAGGGTGGCATAGTGTAGTGTTTTTTTTCTTGTGTTTCTAATGTGTCATTACCAGACACAAAGGAAATTTTTTTTCTGTCTACTGATCTATTACACAGTTCAGGGTTTTTCCAGGATTGTTATTACATAGGTTTATGAAAAGCTCAATGATTTAGTATTAACAGTGTTATAACAAGACACTGTCTTTCCATAAAATTTTTGCCTTGCCATACATGGTCATTATTCAGTCAGCTTGCATGGTTTCGAAAAATTTTGTGACCAACCCCCCTCTCCTTTGGAGGCCAGTACTTGGTTCAAGTTATTGAGGGTAAAATTATATAGAAATGATCCGAAGGGAAACAAAAATTACTTTGAGTTAGCAGGGGGTTCAAGTTATCGATGGTTCAAGTTACTGAGGGTAAAATTACAGTAAATATATGAAGGAAATCCAAGGGAAATCGACTTTGGTTTGAGTTAGTGTGCCATTCAAGTTAGCGAGGGTTCCAGTTATCGGGAGTCAAATGTATATGTACTTACATTTTAATCCCATTTAATCCCCTTCTGACTCTGCACCACAGAATCTTATTGAGAAACCAACTCTGTATGTTAAAAAAAAATTTTCTAGCACCTGTTGAGACAACAGCCAAAGCAGATACAACAGCAGCATTAGCTACTCCAAGTATGAGTGGGCAGTCACACACAGCACAACCTTCCACAACACTAGTGGGTGTTGAACCTGTTGCCGGGGCAGTGGGAGGACACCCAGCGAGTCCAACTCATGATGATGCTGTCTTCAGGGAAAAACTTAAGCACATGGGAAAGAGTAAGTGCAATGTTTGATCATCTAGATGCTTAAAAAATTTGAAAATGGGAGTTCTTAAAATGAAGAGTTTTGGATTTTTCACTGTTCAACACATGATTACTACAATGTATGAAAGCTGTATTAATGGGCACCCACCTACCAAACATATTCTTTAAATCCAGTGGGTGTACATGTTCACCTGTCTTAAGAATGACCCACAGTATTGGTCCCAGTGGTGTTCATGATAGAGAGTTGATGTAAATACCACCTGATGGCTTAACAAGTTTTATTCACATTACTTTTAATAAACCCTTTAAGCCCCAGTATCCACAAGCAAATTCTCCACGCAGTTGTTCTGGTCTCCATACCTTTCCTTAAAGAAGTAGTTGAGTGAATTTGACAAAAGTTCAAAGTATTATCTTGTTCTTTGGTTGTCATTAATTTTTATTAATTATTATCATAACCATTTCTCTAATAATTGTGCGGTGATATTGTTGGGAATCTAAGTTGATGTTGGTTTTTGGGGCCAATACCATGTACATGTATAGCGTTAACTGAGCTTTTATTATTCAAAGTGCAAAAGCACTTAAAGAAGTGCACATACGAGTAAGATTTGTCGTCAAGTTGTTTCTTGGAAAGTTTTGTTTCCCATTTTAATATTTCCTAAGATTTTTTTTTGTTTCAGTTTTGTTATTGAATCTGAAAACATGATCAACATCATAACCATGTCAAATAATGTTTATTTATTTTATTTTATTTCTATAATATTATTTTAGGTACAAGAAAGAAGTTTGAAAAAATGGCTAAGGTGTTTCACAGAAAGAATGTGAATCGTGCCAAGTATCCTTTTACAGTATATTGTTTTATATTGGTCTTTAGAGACAAATTATGCAGCTGTCTGTTTTACAACAATATTGTTTATCATCAGGCTTTAGAATCATGATTGTGTTGCAGGCGCTGTTTCAGGGGCGGATCTAGGGGGAGGGTGCAGGGGGTGCGCACCCCCCCCCCCACCCCCGAGATGACCTGCGGTTTTCTAATACAACTGGTATTCTGCAAAGAAACTATGTGGTTTATTGGTGTTGAAGTAGAGCAAGAGACGATTGCACCCCCTCCTAAAAAAAATCCTGGATCCGCCCCTGTGTTTTAATCTGATGGATGCTTCAGTCATAATGTTCATACCTTTTCTTAAAGGTGTATTATGTGCTTAATGGGTCAGAATATAAATAAAAAAGCTTATAGACATGAAAATAGAGTTGCCCTTTGTTGTGTTCATGTACAGGTCAAAATTAAATTCAGGTTAAAATTTTTTAACCTAGGTTGATTTTCTATTTCCTTTGTCTCCTACATGTAGCTCTAATTATTCATGAAGGGCTAGAAGACAAACGAAAGAGAGAATCAACCTAGGTTTAATAATTTTGACCTGGAAATAATTTTGACCTGTAACATATATGTTTGTTTTGTTGTTTGCAACACACAGAGAGAATGGTAACTGTGTGCCTTTGATGAAAGAGCCTTGTTGTGCTCAGTGCACTGTCAGTAGTAGGCTACAAAAATGTTAGTACTAATATATTCCTCTATTAAAGCCCAATATCCACCTACAAATTCTCCAGACTAATCTCCATGCATATCGTTATAGAACCAGCAAGAGAATTTGTTCTACTAATTCTTTATGGAAATGTATGGAGACCAGTTTGGAGAATTTGTATGTGGATATTGGGGCTTAAAGGGGTTATGGATTCCTTAGTCTCTAACATAGAAACATGTATTGCAGACAGTTCTAATAATGATAATAATAAAATTTAATATTATTTTATATAGCACCTACACTTTTCAGTGCTAAGCGCAGTTCTGCTGATCCCTGATACTAATCTTCATACAACTCCAACCTGTATCATAAATTAGACACCTATACTAGTAGTAATCTCAGAGCAGGAAGTGTGTTCGAACTTTTTTAGGTTTACTGTCAAATGTGACCTTATTTCCTAATAAATTTATGCTGCAAACACTTCCTATATGTTTTTGTAAAAAAGAAACAAAACAACTTCAAAAAAAGAAAAAAGTCTCACCTGGCAGGAGTCGAACCCGAGTCGTTCGACTTGAAAGGACAACGCATTATCCATTGCGCCACGCAACCATTGCTGAAACTGCATGTCAAATTAATTGTATTTAACATTTTTGTGCCCACGAAATAAATCATTCAAGATGGCGCAGAAAATGCAGACATACAATGAAATGAGTATCGGAAAAGGTCACCCTTGAGTACCTCAGGAATCCTAACTGAGTACCCCAGGAATCCCAAGATTATGTGTTGCGTTCTCTTCACAGCGGATGCAACAATGTGGACACTTGGTGTCACTACTTTGGTGTCCTCTTTGGTGTCTACTCCACGTTATCTGATCCTCTGGAAAAGGCTTCAATGTCAGATGTAAAAATCACTGGCAGTAATAAGGAGGGGGTTAATTTTGCAATGCAAGTTGCAAAAAGCCACAGGGTCTTGGTAGTGAAGGAGTTCTGTAGGCTGCCTTTAGTTCTATATGTTTCACTTGATAGTTTTTAACTTGTTTACTGCATTAATTTATTTATTTATTAATTTATTTCATGCGTGAAATAATATTATTATTACACTTATGTTTACAGTTTACCATGGGCGATTTCTAAAATGGTTAGTTTCTAAAGAAACGTGGGATAAAGATGGTAAAGATGACAAACTCATTTTGTTTGTGTATCTTACAGCCAAACTTTTTTGCATGTTGGCCTTACAGTAAATCGCATTTTGTAGTTGTTATTTATAAATATGCCTTGACATTTTAGTATCATGGCTGCTGCCTCTGCAGCGTCAACTGCCAATCTTCTGGAAGGTTATAATGAGGATGATGATGGTGAGTGTTCTGTTACTAATTTTGTTATTGCAGTCAAACCTCACCACAACAGCAACCCCGGGAGACAAAGCTCAGGGGCACCCAACTACTGTTTTCTGTAAAATGTCTGTTTGGAGAATATTCTGCTGCTTGAATACTGTATATGATCTAATAAACACCTGGGGCATTTATTTAATTCTAGGGGTCCAAGAGGGGGCGTTTAATAGATGGGAGGTGTTTAAAAGAGCGAGGTGTTTATTCTCGTAACTTATTTTAACAAACTCAACATAACTGTTACTATACAGTATGCTTTCGGCTAAAAACGTTTTTGGGTTAACAGAATCTCGACTACGGGCCTGACGGCTTATCTAAAAATTGAACATGACATAATACACAAACTGATGTTAATCAGGCAATGAAATTAATAAATATTGATTGATTTTGCTCTATTTCGCCATTTCCTAGTATTTGGGGGCAATTTTCAAGGGGGGCATTGATTATACAGGAGGCATTTATTAGACAGGGGCATTTAATACTAACTTAACAGCGCAAGGGGCCGTTTATTAGATAAGAAGCCTTTATTTGAGAGTGGGCATTTATTAGATCGTTTACGGTATGGCTAAAAATTTCTAGGTGAGCATTCTATTCAGCTACAATTTTCGAATCTTATCAAAAAAATTCCCTAGGATGTTCTGAAGTTTAATTTTTCACATTTTTACATTTTTGTAGCAAAAAGGAAACATAAAATTTTGGGATTCAAAATATGATGGAGTGAGGAATAAGACAAATTCTCACTTTCGTAAAACGTTCACTTGCATCTAAACTTTACAGAAAAGTAACACTGAAGCCCTTGTAATTTCCAAAAAGCCTCAAGTTCCCTCGGATGACGAAACATACTTGTATACAAATTTTATAGCGCTGCTTAAAATGCATTTCTAGAGATCTAAGAGTACTCTGGATAGCCTAAACAGACTTTTCAATGCATTTAGGAAGAAACTGTCATTGGGTGCCCCTGACAGTTCCTCAAAGTAGATTGTAGGGAAGTTAGAACAACTTGGGCCTATTTTTGCTGGGTTCATGTATGTGCTGCTGGCCTCTTGGAAACCCTACTCCATTAAAGTCTTTTNGGATGACGAAACATACTTGTATACAAATTTTATAGCGCTGCTTAAAATGCATTTCTAGAGATCTAAGAGTACTCTGGATAGCCTAAACAGACTTTTCAATGCATTTAGGAAGAAACTGTCATTGGGTGCCCCTGACAGTTCCTCAAAGTAGATTGTAGGGAAGTTAGAACAACTTGGGCCTATTTTTGCTGGGTTCATGTATGTGCTGCTGGCCTCTTGGAAACCCTACTCCATTAAAGTCTTTTCTGTGTGCAATAAATAGACTCCATCTTAGTCACTTTTGGACAAATGAAATTTTCTCAATCCCAACTTATTCACTTTCTGTTTATGTATCTACCTTATGAAGCCTTTGGACTAGACCATCTTAAAATGAATTTTACACATGTTTTAAAATCTCTACATACCAGAACTTTCGTAACCCCCAAAATCCCAATAATATGTGACCCTATTCTAATACATGTACCTCCATTGAACAAACAACCCCATTATAGTCAATATGGTGGAGAAAATGCCACCCCACCCAGCCACACACCCCTGTTAGTCTGTTACTATGAGAGTCAATTGGTTGTTGGTTGAGTGATTCCTTAAGATGCATCTGTTTCTTATCATAAATGGGACAGCATTTCCATCATCAAAGTACAAAGAGGAAAACCCCTTAACTCCAGGAGGTTACTGATTAACCCTTTAAGTTCCAATATCTACATACAAATTGTCCAGACTGATAGAACTGATGTCCTTACATTTCCTCATAAAATTAGTTGACAGAATTTGATAAATGATCAATGCAATTTTGCTTTGGTGATCATTTTATTAATTCTCATAACTTTTTCTCATGATCATGTACTGATGTTGTTAGGAGAAAATAATATTGACTTTCGTCACTGTTGATATTTGTTTATATCAAGATGAAATGCTTAATGCTATGGGATCTGCCAAGCTGGAAATCATGGATGAGAGAGATGATGACAAGGTAACAGAGAGTTCACCTCATCGGACAGCTACAAATGTACAGCGAAAGGCACAAAAGGTACGCAAATGAGCATTTGTATCTTGAGCTTTGATATCACCTCTCCTACAGATCAGGGAAGAGGTCAAAAATAACTCCTATAGAACTTTTAAAAAAATGGTTGATAAAATGTTCCAAAGTTTTTATCTGAAATTTCAAGTCCGAATAAAAAATTTAAGAACAGAGAAAAGTGGCCACTGTAGGGAGGTGGACAGTTTTAAACAAGAGTTATTTTTTACATAGCTGGAATATTTTCCCCAGCGGCACTAGCTCTCATTGGTTACTTTGAGGTCGCATGACCTTTAACATTTCCAAGCAGGCAACAGTGAAAATGACATCAAAGTGTAACAGTTCACTATTACCCTGCAGATGTTGGGTACTGGCGCAGAATTACCCTCCCTCAAATTACACACGTAAAAGTTTTTTGCTGTTGTCCTTGGCTATGTAACAAATCACTGAGTTAATTACTGCCTCTTATGAAACTAATTACTTTTGTTTCCCTCAAATGTTGATGTATCTAACGTATTTCACATGCAATTATAAAGAATTTTGGTGCTACTCTGTATGTTTAAGTCAATGCCGCAATATTATTTTTAGCATTTTGGAAAAAATTTTGATACAAATTTTCCCAGGCAATGCTGCCCACACCCCCGATAGAAGCCCCTCCAAATGTGCCTTTACATTTTTTTATGGAGTTTAACGGTAGTCTAAGTCTTTTTTAATCTTTTCTCTTTAGCCGTCCGAGCCAGAGCCAAAGAAGCCTGGCGGTGTTGAGCCAATCGTCTTCTTTTCAGAAGACAACGAGTTTGCATATAAAGATGAAAATTATTAAAATTTACAAGACAATACTGTGTTAATAGAGGCTTAGAGTAGAGTTTGTGTAACAGACAGTGAGGGTGCAGGAATAAAGGGTAAGTTAATGAAAAATTAAGTAACCATTAGTTACTTAATAGCTATATCTGATCTGCTCGCACAAATAGAAAGGTGATAATTTTTTTTTATAATATTTCCTGTAATTAACATGTATTTAAATTTCTTTTCCTTATTAACGACTCAGGAAACATGTAGAGCAAAGAGTTAGCTTGGGTCTTTTTCCATTATGTTTTGCTGAGTACCACATTGCGTTGGTCAAAACTGCATGAGATGGTTCCAAGTCGTTGGCTTTTGTCGTACTTGGAACGTTAACCTTACACGTACAACTGAGTTGTATGGCTGCCAGTACAATGAAACAACGTTAAAATGCGGGTCAGGTATTTTTATTCTTTTCTGGAAAACTGCCTACATACCCCTCCCCTAAGCCAATTTTAACACTTCTCACTTGGTGACAAATGTTGGCTTAAGGGAGGGGTAGGTGGGCAGTTTTCTCGAAACGTATAACGATCCCTACTGATTCCTACAGTAAACTCTCTCTAAGACGGACACAACTGGGACTTGGACTCAGTGTTTGACTCAGATACAAAATATAGGTGTCCGCCCAATAGGAAAACTCAAAGATATTGTCTGAAGAAAGAGAGGGACCAACTGTAGGTGGCCGTTTTGAAGAGGTGTCCATCTTATAGAGAGACAAAGAAAAGGACTGAAGAACGACAGGGACCAACTGTGGGTTTCTGTTTTTTGTAAGTTGTCCTTCTTATAGAGATACAGTCAATTCCCTCTAAGACGGACACCTTTGGGACTGGCAGTAAGTGTCCGTCTTAGAGAGATGTCTGTCTTATAGAGAGTCAAATAAAGGGAGTAAAGAAAGGCAGGAACCAACTCTAGGTGTCCGTTTTAGGGAGGTGTCCGTCTTATAGGGGTTTCCGTTAAGAGAGAGTCGACTATATCCGCCGAGAGAGATGACTGTAGAAAATTATATATTTTGTCTAGAGCAGCCCATGGTATGTTTCCTTAACATGCACTTTGTGAAGTTTCTTGTGAGAGGAGTTGCGATGTTTTAGTCGTAAACCTATTTATAGTTCAGAAGTGCTTCCAGTTCCTTGACTCACAGTGGGAGGTTACAGACCACCCATTTTTAAACTCATATTACTATGAGGGAGGTCTGGGTGTCGGCACTAATGTGGCAAAAAATTTGCGATTGGTTTCACCCGATGATTTCTCTTCATGAATTATTTGTGGTCAAGAAAATCGCTATCTGATGTCGATTTTGAAGTTAGCCATGATCTAGCTCGAATCTAGTGTAGGTCAGATTTTGTATCTGCTAATGTTTGCTAACACTTGTGTGCAGAAGTCTGCACCTTGCATATCCAAATGGAACATTGAATACTACAGAATGCAAGGGCCGAGTTGTTCAAAGCTGGGTTAAGATAACCCTGCAGGGTTTGTGCGAGATTTGAATTCAGATTTGAAAGCGTAAAAAGCATATCAGTTTCAATTCTTTTAGTCTACAAGATGATGATTGGAAGCTCCAAGAATAACAGGGAAAATTATCCGAGAAAATGCTTTAGAACACAAGAAAAAGAAAACCGGGTTAAGCGCCCGGGGGGGGGGGGCCTCCGCAAATGAAAGGGGGGGGGATGCTCGTCGGAAATTGTGAATTAAACCCCTAAAGGAGACCGATCTGGGCGTGGCCCAAGCTTTTTTTTTTTACCCCTAAAAGAGACCATGTTAAAACAAAGACAATATATATATTTTTTCGCGNGTGAGACCAAAATCCGAAATTTACACCCCTAAGCGAGACGGCGACATCCCCACCCCTTTCATATGCGGAGTCCCTCCCCGGGGTTAAGCGCTAATCGTCCTTCGAACAACTGGGCCCAGAAAGTATATTGCATGAAACAATCATTAGAGCATTTTGTTATTTGATATTATAGCTTTTAAATTAAACATATGAGTTATTTACTTGCGTGTGTTATGTTGTAATGCCTTTAAAACAGCGTATAGAGTCTTAAAGTTAATAAGTGTCAGTCGAGAGATTTCTACTATTACCGCTCGGAGAAGTATGTTGCTATCCGCTTCATGGAAAATAAGAAAGGACAGAAATATATATGGCGAACCTTCCAGCAATTTTTCTTACTTTCCCCTCGTAATCCGAATCCAACGATTGCTCAAAGAAATACTTCATTTCCTTTAGGCGCGTTTTATCCTCATGTTATGTTTTTGTATTTTTTATATTGGACAATTTACTGAATATATCTCACATACAATGCATGTATATCCTACTTCATTACAGAAGGGAAATTTCCCTGAGAAGTTTCAGGGAAATTGAGAAGCACGTGATTCCGGACTGAGCAGTCAGCGTGTACCTGTACTTCTCCTTCTTTAATTCAGGATTTGAATTTTAAAAATTTTGACGATCATTTTTTGTATTCAGCTGTGCGTTCTGTATAAAGTGTCCACACAACTTGGGTTGTTAAATGAATTAACAACACGTTAATGTCACCTGTGTAGTCTTAAATAAGCAAAGTTGTAGTGGTTTTTAATGACTGTCGCAAGGCCAAAACCATGGTAACCGTCTGGCCAATCACAGCACTTCAGTCGTCTTTAAAACAATGGAACACATCTTGTATAAGGCCATCTTGATCTATCTAGAGAAGTACAATATCTTAACTAACTTTCAGCATGGAATTAGACAAGGGAGATCCCACGAGACCCAGCCAACGCCTTGTCGCAAAGCTACAGTACTATGGGATTAGAGGAAACATATTTTTCTGGATCTCCACTTGGTCAAAGAGTAGTTGTCAACGGAAAATAATCGGAACCTTCGAAAGTTCTATCAAGTGTCCCACGGGGCACTGTACTTGCTCCTCTCTTCTTCTTTATGATCTTTGTCAATGACATTGGGGACAACCTTTCTTCTAAGACTAAATTGCGTTTATTCTCTGATGATAAAAAATGTACAGTCCTCTCAGAGCAAGAAACTCCGAAAAGGAGGCAAGAATATTGTAGTTTGATTTGACCAATCTTCTTTTGTGAACCTCCAAATGGAACCTTAAATTTAATTTAAAGAAATGTAATTTAATTCGATTCTCCAGGCCTACTTCTCCCATTAGTTTTTCTTATGAAGTTTGAGAGTCACACGGCCTGTAATCACTCACCACCCTTATTTAGGAATAGAGCTATCAAGTGATCTCAGTTGGGATCTCCATGTAGCTACTCTAACTAAGAAAGACAATCAGACACTCACCCTCCTCTTCATAAATCTAGGTAATTGTCCAGTTAAAGTTAAGGAACAGGCCTACTTTACCCTTGTTAGACCCCATTTTGAATTCCCTTGTAGTGCTTGGGACCCTCACCTTCCTAAACATATTCTGGAAATTGTGAACATTCAACGCAGAGCAGTTCGCTGGGTTAAATCCTGTTACATCAGAGAACCCGGCGGGGTAATTACTTGCCTGGACATAACTTCAGAGGAGGAGGTTAAATGCTAGACTCTAACTTATGTGGAAGGGCGTGAACAAAATAGTTTTCCTCACGATACCTGACTACATTTAGCCTAAGGGAAGAATCACCTGCGAGTATAATCCTAAGAAACTCCTTCAACCCTCCTCATCGGGAAATGCAAGTTTAGTTTCTTTGTTAGAACAATTAGGGAGTGCCGGAATAATTTAAGTGATTCCGTGACTGAATCTGAACCATATGATGGCTTTAAACGAGCCGTAAGTAATTGAAATATTTAATTTGTTACAACAAGAGTATATCTGATGGTGTTTAGTTTCTTTTATGCTTATTCGTTATAATATATTAAATTTTTATGGGTTAGTTATAAGTAACTGAACTATTTAAATAGGTTTGTGTATTGTTTAATACTGATCTAGTTCTACTCTGCTATCTAGTATGTCAATGCTGTGAGCTCTAGCTAACCATATCTATGTAATGGGAAACCCGCGTTATAGATTAAAGTTTCAGATGTTGAGCACGTGAAGACAAGCGAATTAGCCAATCAGAATTCAATGCAAATACACGAGGTCGGTTACACGACAGGGACACCCAACGACGGTTTCCTCCTAAATACATTGAAAGCACTTTTAAGGCTATCCAGAGTACTTTTAGAGCTCTACCAATGCATCCTAATAAGCGGCGCTATAAAATTTGTATTTGTTCGGTCATCCTAGGGAAACTTGAATCTTTTCAATATTCCAAGGGCTTCTGTATTATTTTCTCGAAAATTTAGATGTAAGTTATTTAAATTATTACGACAGTGAGAAGTTTTCTGATTCCTCTCCCCATCACATTTTTGAACCCGAAAATTTTAGATTTCCTTTTTCCACGAAAAATAGCCAAACCTAGGGAGTGAAATGTGAAAAATTAAACTTCGGAAAATCGTAGGAAATTTATTAGGTAAGCTTCGAAAATTGTGCATGAATGGAACGGTCATCTAGAAATTTTTAGATGAACTTCCCATTCTGTTTTTCGATAGTTTTTGTTGACGATCGCTCTACATGCTAATTGCCTGCTACAAATCACGTCCAATAGATCCATTTTTAAAATCTCTGTAGTTTAGTCTAAAATCTGTATAAACAGTATAATGTGTGTTGCGTTTTATGATGGACATTTCTAGAAAAGATAAGGGTTTGAACATTGCCCCTCGAGGAACACTTGGAATTCATCTTGTATGTTGTCACAGATGCTCTATTGATATGCAATATAGTATCTAACTTGATCATCTCCTTCAACCGTGCACCTTGAAATACCCAAACTTTGCTCTTATCAGAGGGGTATCCAGCCCATTTAAAAGGAGTGGGGGCCAACTCGTCTCAAATTAGTCTATCAACAAAAGTTGAATTATACATATGGCGATCTCGCTAAGACACGAAGCCCAGACTCAGTCCGTGGAGTGGTAATGCGTTGTCATATTGCTGCAGGTATCTTACTAACCTGTTCTAGGCTCTATAA